AATCATGTAGCTCATGGCAGTTAACAGATTTCTATCAAGATTTTCAAGCTACAATATCTGATTTTTAGAAGTGCACTGATAAATATTTCAGGAGCACTCCTCATTCCTAACTGTCCTTTTGTGTGTAACTTCTGACCTTTCCCATCCCTTCAAATGAAGCTTTTCAAGCTTTCTTTATTGCTTCTTGTTCCTTCAAGAAGGACCTAAATTGTTTTACCCTCAACAAAACACAGCAAATAGTGGAAGCATAAAGTAGTCATCTCCCTTTAAGACAGCTGTGGCTTTATGAGCAGCGATACCTTAGCCCATCACTACATGTACCACGGTACCTATGAATGATGAAAAACCAAAGGGCAGCTTGTCAAGATGATCTTTGACATCTCTTTTATACTGTGGGTTTATGTCAAACTCCATCACTGCAACTACTTTGTTTTTTTTTTAAGGGATTTTGCGCCTTTAGCATAGTAAATGGTGAAAGGAAAACAGAATCTTTTGAGACAGAGTATCTTGAGAACGTGTGCCAGAATAATAACATTAAATTGCTGCTGTCTAGTGCAAGCCCCTTACCCACCTCGATGTTAAAAAGCTCCTCTGGTAACACACATCCCGCCTGTGACTGACTGTATTTGGCATTTCAGAGGGGCTCTCAGTTGCTTAAGTGGGTCATTTGTAGACAGAAGAAGAAAGAAAAAAAGTCCACGCTTAAATCTGTCTGCTCAGCAGTTTTCAGTGCTCAATTCTGCTATTCTTGTAGTCACAAAATCCAAGCAGCATTTCTAAACTTCAGTCATTCAGAGAATTCATTTCAGCAAAATAACACCTCCAGAATTCAAACCTACCTGATAGCCAGTCTTCAAAATTACAGTTAAATACAGACACAGTTATAAAGATGTAGCTTATACTTCACAAAAGTATTTTTTTTAACAGTGGTAGTCTACAGGCTGCACACACACAGGACAAGTGAAGGAACAAATTTATGCTCAAAGCTTTGCATGGAATAGGAGTTACAAGAGAAGTTAATTTTCTCCTCTCTGGCACACATGCCCACATTAAGCATATTTCTTCCCATTTTACTTGCAAAAATGGAAATAAACCAAGTATCTACTAAATAAAGATTTTTTCCTAGCCTTTCAAATTTCTTGTTTTACGCAGACAAATTATAACATGGCAGTTTTACAGAGGTACCCTCTTTATGCATGTACTGAAGTTGTAGTAGAAGGCAAGAAGGAAAGACATTACAGCATTCTTCTGGGGTGAAGTCCATCCACAGCTTTACAACACATACAAACACATTAATTATAGCACAATTCTGCTCCACATTGTGCAAGCACTTTGGATCTGGGAATCCTTCATCAAACTATAGTTCTTGCTAGGAATTTCATGTACAGGAAATGCTGTGAACAGGAGCTGCAGCAAACTATCTCATAAAGACTCTATTACTACTTCTTGCCTTTGCTGCTGTCCTCTGAAACTTTCCTTCTCTCTTCATCTTCTTATGAATTTGCTTTAAGTTCTTAATATTCACTGTTTGGTACACTTGGAATAATGCTTATTTGAAGTAAATCCTTATTTGAATTTTTTTCTCTCCTCCACTGAAGAAAATTTTCAGCAGTGCTCCCATTCCATCTGGAGAATATACAGAATCACAGAATCCTTAAGGTTATGTTTGCTTAATTTTTTCACTTCATTAAAATATTGAGCCTTGCCCCTTATTGCAGTGTCTGGTTACCTGCCAGTTTCACGTATTAATGCAATAGTTTTGGCACAAAAGTGTCCTGATGGGAATAAATTCTTGTCAATATAAAACACTGTGGTACTGAAGAGCTAAGCACTCACCCCTGTTAACAAAATTAAACTCTTTCTTCTGCTGCAAACCTCAGCCTGTTAGCCTGTGGGCTCTACCATGTTTTTGCAATCCTACTTCCTGCTGCTCAGTAGCTAAAGGATTAGTATTAAGGAAAATATTTCCAAGTCTTGTCTGTAAATCTCTGGATCCCGTAACAGTAAAAGCTGATGAGAAAGTTTAATCAACACTGAACAGCAGGTCACCTACAAGGCCTGCCTCCTGGTTTCTGCAATATGTTATTTATTTACATTCTGGTTTTCCAACTGAAGCTTTAAGAGAGCATGAGGCATATGGAAGCTTAAATTGAACTGATTTTGGAGAGACTTTGAATGTTAAGTTTTTTAAGCCCTTGAAACAAGGACTTCAAGAAGCCAAATAATACAGGTGCCTCTGAAAACATTATTGCACATTTATTTTATATGCTTTTTTAATATTATTTTTAAAAACTTTTTTTAAAGTTACAATTTTACCACTTTTATGCACTTACCTGTAGTTGGAGGGGAGGATAGGTTCACGCTCCTTTACTGTTGAAGTTTGATAATTTTCCCTTACAGCTCCTACTTTACAATCAGATATTCTTTGTCCTTGCTAGTGGTAATTTTGCTGTGTGCTACATTCTCCACATTCTCCACAGACCTGCCATTTAGCTCATACTTCTAGTAAGAAATTGATGTTTTGATGCAGTTACTTTGTGTGCTGCGGTGTATGTGGATGGAGGAAGAAGATGAGGCACCAGGAAGGCACGTCTGAAGTTTTCCTTGGGTCTGAGTGTACCAATGTTAACCTGATCTACTAGGGGTTAAACTTCTGAATGTCTTTCAATCCATTACAATCTATTACTATAATTTTAAAAAAGGGTTAAAACAGACATTTGACCTTTTATTAACATTTTAGAAACTTAAATCACACACCTGGTCACGAAAGTGACCAAGGGAAATGTGACTTCTGTTTCTATGAAGGAGGTTGCTGGCAAGAGCTGAAAGTCATTGCTACCCGAGATGCTGAGCCATCAGAAACGGGAGTTTGTGGGTGCTGCAAGTTCAGGACACAGCAATCTCGAGGTTTCCCTCCGTTGGTCAGTTATTCTCAGGTCTCGGCGCTGACCAAGTTCCATCTCAGCGACTTCCATTGCTCCACGTAAAGGCTACCAAGGAGACACAGACATTTTCAACTGTCTATGCACTAACTCCTATCCACAAAGTGATGTTTAGTATTGCCAAATGCATAATTTATCATTACTAATTAAAATTATATTTAGGAATGGAATTAAACATGTACATTTCAGTCCAACAAACTATACAAACATTCATTTGGAGAACTTTGCTGGGTGAGAGCTACTGATGACAAATTTTTCCATGTCTTATGCACAAGGAACTAAAAGTCAAGTACAAGAAAAACTGAATACTTGGAAAAATCTTTATTAAGCATTTTAATACAATATTCAACAGTAAAAAAATAAAGTGATGTATATGCAGAGTTTTCTGGCAGGGATCTCAGACAAAGTATGTAATGAAATTGACTTAGTTTAAACCCAAGTTCAAAACATATTCTTATTTATTACTTTACAAAGAATTAATTAGAAAAAATGTACAATACCAACATCAGAGTTATAAACAAAAATCCAAAAATAAAAACATTTCCTTCCAATACTTTTGTACACTATATACAAGAAAATAAAAAGAAATTGCTTTCAGTTTAACCCCAAACTTCTGAAATCATTTGGATATAGCCAGTGTCTGAAGTTTTATACTATTCATTTAATAACTTGTTATAACTATTTTTTGGATTTGCATTTATTCACAGATTCAGGCAAGCTTTCATAAGCCAGTACTTCTCTTATGTAAACTGCTTGTTCAATTTCAAAGTAGTTTTCTTTCATACTTTTTAAAGGAATATTGGTTCTTCCTATTCCAATCAACAAAGAATAATCTCCTGGTTTATGACATATAAACAGTAAGATTTTTTCAGAGTACCAGAAAAGTATCACATCTAGACGAAAATTTAAATGACAAATTGCATCACAGCCCTGAGAAATGTCATCTAATACCAAAATAATAATCTACTTACAAGCACTCCATGTTGTTTCTGAACTTTCTTAAAAAGCATTTGTTATAAACGTTAAGTAATTTTATCTGATGAAAAGCATTTAATTTAACAAGGGTTTATACATTAATTATCCATGAACAAACATGCCCTAAATTTATCCTACAGACTGCTGAATGCAATGTAAAACCACTGAGTGATTTTTCTAGTCCAGCCATATTTTCAAACTGTGATATCACTAGATCAGTTCTGCATCTCTAAATTTAGTCATACAATCCGATTATGTAAGACAGAGATGGCAGATCTGGGCAGTGTAATCTTACAGTAAATTTAGCCAGATATGTAAGAGCCTTTGAAAACAGAGACCCAGCTAATAAGCACACTAACAATTTTGGTACCCAACAGGACCTCCTTAAAAATCATAATGATCTACAGAATGTAAATACTCATTTTACAATCTTGAACTTCCTTACTTTCATGGCTTGACTTCAGTTTCAGTAATGATCATTACATGGTCACATTTGTAGCTCCATCAAAATCTGACTGGGACACAGCAGTTACCTTAGCACGATTAAAAGGAAGAGTTTTGTCTAAATGTACGTATCGGTGCAAAATCAAAGGGGTATCTGAAACCAGACAAACCTCTCTGTCAAACTGGCAGAGAGCAGGAACACGTGCTTGCACAAAGTAGTCCGAGAGAAAGTTTACTGCAGAGCATCTTTTCCCTATCTCTACTGACATGGTTAATTTTAATACAGAAATTAACAACGCAGCACCATTCTGACTGTATTTTCGGAGTAAAACTCACCAGTTTAGAGTAACCTCATCACTGTCTTTTTGAAGGACACATGGATATTAGATTGCTTCCATCAGCCTGAGCCAAGCAGCCTCCAGTGAAAAGCTTAGCACCTCGGCTTGCACGCCAGGAAAGTAGTGAATCTATCAAAGCATATCTTACTTTCACACTAATATACAAACTAAAACGTCATATACACAGATTGAAACGATTGAAACTAAGAAACGAAAAAAGAATTTCTTTTATACAGTCTCTGATCCTAAAACCCCTCAAAATTGCATTCTTACTGGATTACTTCTTTTTAGCAACACATCGCTATATATCTTCAGCAACTGTAGTGTCAAAAATTTGGTAACAAACTTGATGTTTCGTCACATCTCTGACATTATATGACCGGATGAAGCATTCCAGCCACGGCAAGTCATCTACAAACGGAACACAAATTATTATTTACTACTCATTTCTAACTTTTATATAGTATGTAACTTAATGTTAATAGCGAGAAAGAAAAATTTACTGATTTTGAAATCCCAGTCTGTAGCTTAAAGTTTCCCACATGATCCAGAAAGATGTTCAGTGAGCATCCTCCAAGCCTCGTTATCCTCACCCCAGCACATGGGACCAGTAGCTGTACCGCCACACAGCACATACAAAGACTTTCCAATCAAAAAATCTCATCTCCACGTGTCTCCATGAGACAATTTCATTGGTCTCAAAGAAAAAGTCTTTTACAGTCTTTATAACAGGGTCTCTTAAAGAGGTCTCTTTAACAAGACTGCTAAGGGCTCCATTGTGGTTGCCAGTGGTCACTGGGAGCCATGTACCCTGAGGGAGTACTCTGGGGAGGCCGGAGCTGTGGCAGACACATAAAGCTACCTCGGATGTGTGTTAATTTAGGCAGAGCTATTTCTGCTGCAACAATCAGTGCACAAAAACCCCCGTGACTGGATTTGCATTAAGTTTTTGCTCAGTGTCCTCAGATGTTTCCTGTAGAAAGGTATGCTCTAAATCAGCATGTGCATTCAAAAGTAGAATCTCACCCAAAGCATGTGCCATACGCTGAATTCCCTTTCAGTTTTGCCCATACATGAGTTGAATTCTAAGACTCTGCGTATGCAATAGCAGATTGAAAGGCTCTCTCCCTTCCCACCCCACATTTAAAATAATGGCAAACCAACCTAATTTTCTTCCTGAAGGGCAAAGCATATCCATGGCTATCTGCATCTTTTGCTGAAGAAAATCATTAGTTAAAATTTCAGAGGCAGGAATTTGGAAAAACTTTTCCTGGAAGAGAACAAAGTAGTATGAGGTATTTGAAGAGGGGTAAAAAAAATGATTACCCAGAACCATGACTGCATATTTCTTTTGTCATTTAAGCAATTCAAAATTATACAGATAGGTCACACAACAGAAGAACAATATTATTTCTAAAACTGTTCAGATATAGAAAAACAACAAACTGAAAAACTGAATAGTCTGTATTTCAGTTCCCCTGAACACGGGGACTACAGACACCCAGAAAGCACACGTGCAGGTTTGTATATGTAACTGGCAGATATTTCACACAAACTTTTATGAGGAGACAACGTTATGGCCAGAGAGGATGGTCAGACCTCTCCAACAGTCCCCAAGGACTGCAGTGGGCAGAATGTTTCGATAGGAAAAAAATCACTGGCAAAACAGGTGGCACTGCAACCTGGCTTCAAACAAGCAGAACTCCCTTAGTTGAGTTTCATTTTTTGATAGTTTTAGAAAACATGGAGAAAGGCTTACATCATGGGATACATTTCTGAATGGAGGTGCAAAATAAAAGAGACACTGGAATCTTAAACACTCTCCATGTATTTTTAAACCATACACAGTAAACACAACTGACAAAGCTCCCATTTTATTTTTTCCAAGTTTGTTACCCGATTTTGTATCTCTAAAGGCTCATCATCTTACACCTTCTCAAAGTGAGACAAAGTTTTTGATGGCAATTTCTCCTTTTTCTTAAAAGATACAAATACAGAATCGTCTGCCTTTGTGTAACTTCTGTATGACATGTTGAAAGGAAGTGATCAGAATTCAGTGGGTGATCCAGCATCAAAACAGACACAGGCAACTATTCTTTCCTCTCACTCTTACAATTCTTCTCCTGACTATAAATTTTTTCAAGTTTTTCCTGCAATGACTTTGACGAGAGGAAAGAACTAAGAGTGTTCCTATGGAAGTATGACTGCAAGCTAGTGTAAAGTTGCACTTCAAAGTATCCCAGTTTCTTCTCAGGTGGTGCTGAAGGACTGAGTTTCAGCTTGGAAGGTATTGCCTTATCTTTGAAGTACCACCAGCAAAAAAAGCAGCTGGCACTTAAGAAATTGTGGGGTTTTTTCTCTGCCGCTAAGCTGTAGTACTCAGCACTATCTGATAAGAGTCTGAAATACCCTGAAGTAGAGATTTTTGGAATTCTGCATCAAGAGATGGTTTAAAATCTTTCCCTCCCCCTTCATTTTGCAGTGCAGTTTCTTGCTATAAAAAGAAAACAGGACAGCAGAAGGAAAAGTCCACTAGCTGAAAAGAGGATTGCAGTCTTTGACCTCCTTTGCTGCTGATACACTGTGTATTTCAAGAAAACACATAATTCCCAATATTATTTTTACCTACAGACTTAAACAAGGAAAAGAATTCTCTTCAAAGTCATTTAGCACAATGGGGAAAACCATGCAGGTATATACCCATTTAATAGCATATGGGGCGGGGGGCAGAAAAATGCCACTAAATTGTTTCTCAGACCAATTGTGAACAAAGTTGTGACTCTGAAGTGCCACTGCTATTTTGCACTTGTATAGACAGACTACTCCAGATGTGTAATGTTAGATCCTGATATTCCCAGCTATGAATTGCTGGAAAAGGAAAACATACAAATGCACTTAAGAAGAACAAAAGGTACAATGTAATACTAATCTATTTTAGATAATAATTCTCCACTTTACCAAGTTCTTCTCACTTTTTTATTTTGCCCATTTCAAAATTATTGACATACCATCTCAAAAATTAAGGTAGGAACTAAAGTGGGTGTGTGCATGTATGTGTAAAATCCAAACAAACAAAAAATCCCAAAAGGTAAAACAAAAGGAAAAACCCCACAAAGTACATTAGCAACAGATATTTCTACTGTACGCAAAAACACGTGTAAAGGAATAAATTTGCTAAGGAGGATGCTAGACATAAACAACTCATCTTCAGTCCTAAATTGGGAGATGTAGGAAGCAATGACCAGCTCTTGTCACAAGTCCTTCACCTTCAGCATCACAAAAAATTCTTACTCAAACCATCTTTGTGCATTAAACTGCTCATCGAATAATAAAGCTTCTGAATTAGAGAAAAAGGAAAGAAATTATACTAACACAAGTATAACACAAGTGCCCTAAGAGGTTTCTGTAGGGGAATGTCCTAAGTCAGGTGATTTTGAGACTTTTCATTAGTGATATGTTCTATGGAATAGAAAATAGGGCTGCGATGTTTACAGCAAAACCAAGCTGAGGAAACTGCAAGTACACAGAAGTAAAGAATTTGAATTATTTTTTGACAAATTTGAGAGTTAGTAGGACCAAAAAAAAGCCAACCCCCTCCAATTTCCACCAGATACATATATAAAATACTGTTTTTAAACAACTGCTGAAACAAAGAGTGAGGATTAATTTCTTAAAGCCGATATTCTACATTCGACATGAATGAATAAGCAAGAAATCAAGTGATTGCCATACTGGTTTATAAGTATAGAAGCATTATTTGGCAAAGCCTCATGCTGGGGTACTTTTTAACTTAAATGAAGACGTGCACCACCTGGGAAGAATCCAGAAGAACAAAAGTGCGTATGGGAAGAGTTTGCAGAGAACTCTGATATGGAAGAAAAAAATCTCTGATATGAAAAAAAAAACCCCAAAACCAAAAACCCCCTCTTAAATGGAAGAAGATAGAATGAAGGGTGTTTTTTCAGCCTTCAGAAGGTAAAATCGTTATGCAGTGTGTAGTGACACGAAAACTATCTGCTTTTTGGTGCCTCAGGTAGCAGAAATAGTCTTGTTTCAGAGAAAACTGAAGGTAAGCTAATTCTATGGTGGGTAAAGTAGTTGAATAAACTGCTTCTGAAATCAAAGACAAATATCTCTGTAGCTATAGCTGAGTCCTGCCTAGGTTCAGGGGAAGGCAGGCCTGTTCTATTTCACAGTCATAGGAAATAAAAATCAAAAATTACTGAATGGCTAGATTCTACCAAAAGTTCAAAATAAGAGGTAATGCGATTTTGAATCCAGAAGTTAACTGCATAAATCCTGAAATGCTCTCATCGTTCACACAGCATTCAGGCTGCATAGTTTAACATTCAGTCATGGAAATGTAAAAAAAATTATCTACGGAAATATCAAATAACCTATTTACAAGATTGAGCTATGTCTTTATGCTTTGTTATTCTAGACTCCGATATTTTATTGAAAAATTATTAACATTACGTTCTGTGCATCTTCACCAATGGATAGTATTAATAAAGTCACAGCACTTGTAACTGTCCCAGCAAAACACTGCAGGTAACATAAAATGAATATTTCTGTACATTCATTTGCTATTTTAAAACCGAATAAATTCCAAGCCCACATAACCTGTACAGTCTATCTTTACCTAGATTTACTTACATCATCAAAAAGGTATGCATCTAGTGCTCCTGTTCCATCATCCAGTGTAAACTTCATAACAAAAACATACCGGAGCAGCTCAATACCTAAAACTGAAGAAAGAAAAAATTAATCTGTTTCTTAGAGTAAATATGTAAGCCATACCGTAACAACTCAAGCTGACAATATCCCTCTTTTAACAGTACGCAACTTTGAATACTATCATTAAAAGTATACATTGACAGGCTAAAAAACAGAGGCTCTGAAAAGCAAAATGTGACTCATATTTTGAGGGCACATTACAATTTACCGAGAAGGACTTAAACAGATGAGTCTATAAAAAAATGCAGAAAGATTTTTTTAAGTACTTATTCTCATCCTAGTAAAAGAAATGCTAACACTGGTTTAGCTCTTGGATTCTACCTTGGTAGGATCGTCCTACTCCTGTTCTTTCATCCCTGGAAGATTAAAGGAGACTTGCTCTTAATTCAGGGATAACATAGCATGCCACCTGAAAACCTACCTTCTCAGGAAAACAATTTGTTTCATATAGTGTAGTAAAATCTACTAGGCAAAGTCTTATTCAGAAAAACTTTGCTGGCAGTTCTGAAAATATTCCAGCATGCGTAAATGACTACAGACATTCTCTCACTGGCAGCAGTCACTGTTGTGCTGCAAACATAAAATATCTCAAACATACAAAGTTACTGCAGCTCTACATCAGTCTTTTCTGGGTACACCTGGTTAAACTGGCTAGTAATTTTTTTGTTCAACTGATCTGATATAGTTGCAGGTTATCATTTAGTCTGAAAATATAGATGATAAAAGTATAGTATACATAACAGAGTTTAAATGCCAGAAAGCTTTTAATTAATATTTTTTTCATTTTGAGAATTAAGTGTTAAGTGTCAAGTGCAGGTGCTGTAATACTGCCAGCTACCTACAACTGTACTGCTTGAATATTTTTTCTTTTATAAAGAAAGCTTAGATACTGCTAGATATTCCAACTTAATGTTAAAACACAAACTGATGAAAAGAAGAATATTCTTTCTCCTTAGCGTGCTGTGAAGTTTTAAGCTCCATTTTACCTCTAGCATTTGAAGCTGTTGACTACATAAAATAACACAAGGAATACACAAAGCATGGAACACACATATTTGTTATGGCATAGTTCCTGTTATTTGAATATTATTTCTTGCAGACTCTCTGGAATATGCTTAAGATAGGTAAGGATTACAGAAGATAAAAGTCTAATTTGTACTAGCTATTAAAATAAGTCAGAAAAACTATCTTCAAAAGGAAAAGCAAGACTAACTTCTACAACTACAAGCACATACACAGTTTAAAACTAACATGTGCAACCAAAAATTCACCACATCAGTGCTACAACAGGTGCTACTAGTGATATGTATGGTAGAAGAAACTATTCAATACATAAAATCCTTTAATCCATACTGTAATGGTCTGAAAAGTAAATATTTTATTTCAACTGGTAAAAGGTGAATAAATTTTACAGCTTTATATTCAAGCATAACCATAAATTACATGATTTCTATACAAAACTGTAGCCTAGAGACCAAAGTATTTAATATAAAAACTTCGGTATCGAGGCACCAAAGTATTTTGAGACAATATAGTATCAGCTGACCTTGTGCTATTTCAGTTGGTTCCCACGACGGCTGTTGTTCCACTGCGATGGAACTTAGGCTCCTGACAGGCTTTGGAGCTGAACACTGCTTGCACCTAGCATTTAAAACAAGGAACTGAGACTAATCAAACACTGCTTTATTTATACTAGAAGCTTTCTGCATAGGAAAAAAAAGAAAGTTATTCTGATTACTCAGTGGGGGCACAAAAGTAATTCTTTTGCTGTTTAAAATAACTATTTTACCAGACACACAAGCTTTAGATCACATCAAAACCCTTAACGTTGCTTTTGAATTATCCCCAAGAAAAAATAAATCATTTTGGTCTGGAAAAGGCCACCTCAGTGATAGGAAGGAGAGAAACTGTGCATTAAAGCTGAGAGAATTGGGACTGGTGAGCCTGGAGAACAGAACGATTTGGGGAGACCTTATTGCAGCCTTTCAATATATAAAAGTGGCTTGTAAGAAAGACAGAGGGAAACTTTTTACCACAGTGACAAGATTTAGATTACATGTAAGGAAGAACTTCTTTACGATGAGGGTGGTGAGGCAGTGGAACAGATTTGCCCAGAGAAGTTGTGGCAGGCCCCTCCCTGGAAGTGTTCAAGGTTGGACGGGGCTTTGAGCAACCTGGTCTAGTGGGAGGCCTCCCTGCTCATGGCAGAGGAGAATGGTAAGAGCAGAATTTTGGCTTTAGCTATGTTTAATAATATTAACTATAAGCTATTAAAACAATCTCTTATTATTGGTGGATTTACAGCAGTAATTATGAATTTTACATGTGGCAGTAAGCAAGTGCTACAAGTGGACAAAAATACTGCAGAACTATTTTCAACGTTGTTCTCATTTGCCTCAAGGAATAAAATCACAGAACAACTATTTTTTTCCAAAATAAGCTTCTGTGCTAGTGTATTACAGTTGTAAATTAAAAAAAGACATTTACTATCTTTTAGAATTGCATGTAAAATGTATGATAAAAATCAATAGCACTACTTCTGCTCAGGTCATACAAAGCCAAGCCCAATGAATTTATTTTTTTCCTTTAAAAATATGATCCAAACGACAATAAAGCAACTTAGCTGTGAATTGTTTTTAACACGTATGTCTCTCTCTATATATAGATATATATGAATATACATGCATATGTATATGCATACAATTATTTAAAGAAGTATTTAAGCTCATTTCTACAGTAAAAATAACTTTGCTTTTCATTCTACTATACAGAATCTTTTTTAGACTTTCCCAAGTATATGCTAGTCACAAAAAAGCATGTGGAACAAAACTCTGAAATGTCAACATCCTTGTGAGCTTCCTTCCTAAATAACCTATAGGCAATCACAGGATATCTTATAGAGCGTCGGTTTTTAACAATACAGCCATTTAAACAGAGAATGATGCCTGAAGACGAGCTGTGCGTAGCCTGGGAAAGAGATGGATTACATCATTACAAAAGTGCAAGGGCAAATATTCTGTACTGGTAAAGATTCACTCCTGGTACAAACAGCCATATATTGCCTTTATTTAAAAAAAGCTGCAGTCATCTCTGGAAAGGTGAAAACAATATATGACAAAGAGAAAAAAATATCTGTATTCATTTTATCAGGCCCTCTTGAACTGCTTGAACTTATTAGGATCGTGAAGAGGGAGGACTCAATAGCCTGCATGAAGCAGACTGGTATTTCGGTAACGGCACGCTGCTGCACAGGACTGGGAGAACACCCTGCTGCCAGCTCTCACTGTGTGTACTTTATTCCACTGCTCCAAGGCTGTGGAATTTGGAAACCTGGGGGATGCTGTGTCTGCAGTGACTGATATTCGCAAACAGGCAAGGCACTTTGCAGTGTTGTGGATCTCAATGAATGGCAAATGGTGAGGAAGGGCTGTCCAAGATCCCTGATTCGTTCCAAAACCCAAGGAATGAGAGAGAGAAGGAGACATGGACTGACAGCCTGAAACTATTTTCTGTATCTCTATTTAAATCTTATGTGAGTACAAAAAAACCAGTTTTAAAGCAATGTATGTTTTGACTTTAGTCTCATGAGTAAGACCAGAAAATAGTATCTTTCTGGCCAGAAAAAGGAAAATCTGGAGGAAAACAGGAATAGTTACGCATTCTGCAGCCTGAAGAGACTCATATGTGCATTTCCATTTGCAGTACAGTGCCCAACCCACACACCACAGGCATGACTGAACCTGGGGTGCTGTGTAATTAAGGAAATAAGATTTACAGGGCAAAATAAAGCCCAGCTGCAGCTGAGTCCTTTGATACGAGGTAGGAGCATGGCATTTGATCAGCAGTATTGAGGTAAGCGATGATGTTAGGTATTTTGCATCAAAGAATCTTTGGGTAAATTAACCCTTGAGCACTGTAGTTTGAATTACTGAAGAAAATAATATCTGTTACTGCAACTATGAAAATATCAATGAATACTTTTAACCTACCCATAATATTTTATGCTTCCTTTTAAAAGAAAAGGAGCTGAAAGATCTAGTAATTCAAGATCATCTTCCGTGGATCTCACAGGAATAACACATTTAAATCTTTTTGCAAGCTTCCAGACTTCTTTTTGTGTTCCACCTATTAAAAAGAGAAAAACATGTTTTTTAAAAACTGCAATCAAGAACAAATTGAACAACTTGCATTTCTTGGCTGATTAGATGTTGATTTTAGGAAGTGCCATAAAAATTGAGACTCAGTATTGAAAACTGAAAAAATGGTCCGTAACATTCCTACTCAACACCGGCCTCAATAAAGAATCAAAGATAGACATTAATCAGAGCAGATGCCTTAACATCTTCCTCAGAGATATCACTGTAACCATGAAATTAGTTAGTGTCACTTTCATATTATCTCTTCTATGATTTTCCTAGCAATCTAGAATAAACTGACTTTTTGCAATTATTTCTAAGAAACTGTTTATTTTCAGCTTCTAAGTGGCAAAATTCTGTTAACAAGTAATTTATGAAGAAGTAGTTCTATAACTACATCATAATTGATACGGAGTGGGAAATGCAGAACCACCAAACAGAAAATTAGCAGGTGTTGACAATAATAAGAATCACCGTGATTTCAAGTGCAAATAATAAAGATATGAAGGAGCATCCAACTACTTGCTAAATGTAACATTTCACTCTTCAGTTCAACTCATCTGTAGCAACCGTTACGGATTCCCCTCGCTCCCTGTGTAGGGTCACAAAATGCTGTCTATTATCCAACTGTTTCCTCAATTCCAGCCCAACAGATGCCAAACACTCAAAAATAAGCTCTTCCTTCAGCATAATGAAGAATATTGTGTTGTAGAAGAGCAAATTACTTGTGTTTAACAAACAAGTAGAATCTAGACCACGTTTGCCTAACAAAATAACACAATGTGTTTGGCCTTTGGTTGTTGTGTGTATCTGGCAAAGTGCTGGGAGGATTTCTGGGGCAACTTCAAAATCTCCACCTCCAAAAACTTGAAGATAAAAATTAGAATAGCATGAACAGTGTTCTGTGAAAAAAGCGCTGAAAGAATGATTATGCCTTTTCCTTGTGCTCCAACACAGAGTACATTTATCCACATATACATACTCAGCTGCTGGCACTTTAATATCTGAAAAATAAGATTCACCAATGTATTTTGTTTAGTTATTTTAGGGAAATAGCATAGAAAGAGATCTTTCTTTTTTTTTCTAAAGTTGGATTAAAATAAATAAATCCAGTTTGGAACATGTCAGAAATAAAGTAGCTATCAGAACTTGTTGAATATAAACCAAAGCAGAAAACAGAAGGGGTTTTGTCATTGACCCTTACACAAAGGACCACCTGACTTTTATTTGCTTATTCACACCATTACTTGGGCACAACTGAAGACTTCTTTTTAAACTTGCAATGCTATTATATGCAACTGTTTATTACTTCCTTTCTAATGAAAACACTCCTTATTAGTATTCTTGCTAAACGGCTTTGTTTAAAGGTTAGTGGTTATTTCTCTTCCTTGAGGAAATCTGCTAAAAATCAAACCAAAAAAAACCTCATGCTGCAAGTTTTATTAATATGAAACAACACTGACATCCAGAGGCTGACAAAGTTAATTGTAGACTTGTATTATCAGAAGCTTTAAAAAACTTTAACACCAGTACAGATAAGAGGGTTTTTTTCTAGAAGATTCAGTGAGTTTTCAAATCAGAACTGAAAAATCAGTAAGCACAGCTAGAAAAAAAACATACTCAGTTGTTAATTTTAGCAGAATCAACAATAAACTTACTGGTATAGTTTTAAACTAGACAGAAGCATCTTGCAAGACCTTCACAGATGACTTTTTCCTGTTTGCACAACAGCAACTTAAAGCTTCAGCTGAGCTTTTCTTTTCTGTGAAGATGCCTTTATGATCATCACTATTTACACTGAATACACCATATTTTAACTTTGCAGATACTCAGAGGAGACACTGTGCCATTAGAAGTGGTATATTTGCAATTTATCTTACCTTCTATCATAAGCAAAGTATTTTCAGGCTGCTGAAGCAGTTCATCATGCTTTACAAAATGGATAGCTATTTTTCTTTGTTTCTCGTCTTGCGTAGTCCACGTTACAGAATCATACCAGGACGTACTGTGCAATTCTGGGTTTGGGGCAGTAACGGCAGAGTCTTGTAAAATTAAGTCAAAGTCATCTCCATCTGGAACTTCCTGCCTAAAACAATTTCCAAAATTAATTACTAAATAACTAATGTAACTAATATAACTAATATAACTAATATAACTAATATAACTAATATAACTAATAACTAATTAGGCAATCTAGCACCAAAGATAACAGAACTTTGAATAAATATTAATCTATAGTACTGACAGTTAAAGCATATAGAGGAAAAATAACTTTCTTGATAATATCAGTTTAAACATTTACAGTTGTATAACAAATTATGACAAGATAATTCATTTCTACGTTAATAAATATGCTAAGTAATCCAATCTTACCTAGGATCAGGGGCAGCCTAGTGGCTTTACACACACATATATAACTCCATGGAGAGCCAAACACATTAGCTTTATGTGGTTTCAGTTGGGCCTTAAAAGGGCCACACAAATGCATATCACTTGAGTAGAGTGAAAAGACTGTATAAAGTCATATCATTTCTAGTTTTATGTTCTAGGCTGTTCTACTTTGCATATTTGGAGGGGGGATCCTCAGCATCCTCATAGGCAAACTTAGGAAGTGTGAATTAGATGAATGGATAGTGGAGTGGATTAAAAACTGGCTGAAAGACAGAGCTCTGAGGGTTGTGGTTAATGGCACAGAGCCTAGATGGAGGCCCAAAACAAGTGGTGTTCCCCAGGAGCCAGTACTGGGTCTGGTCCTGTTCAATATATTCATCAATCACCTGGATGAAGGGACAGAGTGTGCCCTCAGCAAATTTGGTGATGACACAAAACTGGGAGGGGTGACTGTGCTGCCATCCAGCGTGACCTGGGCAGGCTGGAGAGTTGGGCAGTGAGAAACCTTATGAAATTCAACAAAAGCAAGTGTAGAGTACTGCAACGGGGGAAGAACAACCCCATGGATCAGCAGAGGTTGGGGGCTGAGCTGCTGGAAAGCAGCTCTGAGGAAAAAGACCTGGGAGTCCTGGTGAACAGCAGGATGGCCATGAGCCAGCAATGTGCCCTTGTGGCCAAGAAGGCCAATGGCATCCTGGGGTGCATCAAGAAGAGTGTGGCCAGCAGGTCGAGGGAGGTCATCCTTCTCCTCTACTCTGCCCGTGGAAGGGCTCATCTGGAGTCCTGTGTCCAGTTCTGGGCTCCCTGGTTCAAGAAAAACAGGGAACTGCTGGAGAGGGTACAGCAAAGAGCTACAAAGATGATTAGAGAGCTACAACATCTTTCCTACTGAGAATAGCTGAGAGACTTGAGTCTTTCTAGTCTGGAAAAGAGAAGATTGAGGGGGAACTGATCAATGCTTCCAAATACTTAAAGGGTGGGTGTCAGGGGGATGAGGCCAGCCTTTTTTAATGGTGCCCAATGACAGGACAAGAGGTAATGGCCACAAACTGAAACGTAGGAAGTTCCATCTGAACGTAAGTAGGAACTTCTTTACTTTGAGGGTGGCAGAGCACTGGAACAGGCTGCCCAGAGAAGGTAGCGGACTCTCTGTCTCTGATGATGTTCAAAACCTGCCTGGATGCCGCCCTGTGCAACCTGTTGTAGGTGAACCTACTCTGGCAGGTGGGTTGGACTACATGATCTCCAGAGGTTCCTTCCAACCCCTAACATTCTGTGATTCTGTGGGGAAAAAAAAAAAAATAAGGGCAGGAGCAGAATAGCTTCACATATGTACCACGAAGGGAAAAACTGCAACTGCATCACAGAGTTTCTTTCTTGTTCTGCTACAGTGCACTATTTGTACATTTCCAGTTGTTACCCACAGAGAAATAATGCAGGCCATTCAAATTTTGCCAATATTATCAAAAAGAGGCAAAAAGGCAGTGGTAGGCACACAAATTAATAAAGCCTTAGGATGTTTTCTCCTAAGCAAGACAGACCTGCTGGCTTCAGTTAGAATATGAACCATGACAAAAAGCCCAATGAAAAAAAAAGTCAAAAGCTTGGGCTATTTCATAAAACACTGAAAGAAAGTAGGTTTCAAGCTTCAGAGTGAAGTTAAAGAAAAAATACCATCAACTTCTGCAGATTATTCTGATGATTCCATTTTCAAATCCAAGAGCAGCTGCTTCCACCAGTGAATAGAACAAATTCCTGCCTATGAATGTACACTTTGATATGCTTCTGCTATGACTGTAGAAATGACACAAAGTTCCTGAACCTGAACTTTCATTTCATGAACACAGCGCCGTTCACATGAACTCCTTACACCTGTGTTCTTTGATTACTCTTTTAAATGCAAAATCAATGGACCTCTACAGCTTGCCTGTAGATCTCCCACAGAGGCAGGAATGGAACGAATTGATTTTGAACTAAGCTAACACGATGGTTGAAGATTCTGTAACGTGGATACATGAATAAAACTATATCTGTGTATATTGATATTTTGCTATTTACAGAGAAGCTTTCAGTCAAAGTCTAAAAACCAAAAATGCGTCTCTCACAAGGATTTTATATCCCAAGCATTGCCTTCATCTTACTGCACAAAGTGTTAAAAGGAACAAACTTGCACTGAACTTGGTTCAGACAGGCTCTTTGGCATATGCTAAAACACAGCACAACTTCTTCTGCCACAGCAGAACATTTAAGAGAGAAGGATGTCCCTAAATTGTTTCCTTCCTGGGTGCAGAACAGCATCACTGTATTTCACTGATTCCTTCCACCTTATGCACAAAGCATGATGAAAGAGAAGCTAAACCTCTAAGAAAGGACTGCATCATTACAGCAGGATGGTGGTACTAGTAGTAGCAGGATACATGCTAACTAAAGCCTCACAAATCTGGTTAAAAGTCTGCCCTAATTCTGTGACAAAGAGAGGAGAGCAATATGTGAAACAGGAAGAGACTCAAATGAACAAAAATGAAGATATTAACTGGTCAAAAATATATAAAAATGCTGTAATAGTCATGGAAAATTGTGGGATAAGGAGGATAAGGATAAAATTCATAACAAACAAACAAAAAAAACCCCTATCAACTGTATCTGCTTATTACTATACAGAGTTGGCAAATATACCCCCAAAATGACAGGAGTGGCAGTTGGTAAGTATCTCCTTTTTATATTTGGTAACAAAGATCACGTATTTGTATGTTGTGAAGATGAAGAAGCATTTCCTCTTACACTAGCAACAAAGAAAATGTTATAACAACATTTGATAAGGACCAACACTGTTTAACCTGCAAGCATGCTACTTTGCATCCAAAAGCTGCAAGAGGAGGACAGTACGGGCATTTTCTTGTCATAGTGATGTTTGTATCTAATAAAACTTGATTATGTAAAAAGTTTCAAAAGCCTAGGAGAATGCTAAAGTGCCATCATTTAAATAAAGCAATATTTTACAGCAGTAACAATAAAGCTATTTGCTTGGGACTGATGCTAGGCTAAGTCAGGCAAAAAACGTGACACAGGATTTAGATGATCACGAATAGCACTGTACTGCATGTCCCTCAGCAGTTTAATCAAAAATAGACCATTTCAGACAAACTTTCATTTTTACATGACTATGTATCAGAAATGGCGTATGATTATTTGACTGAGCATTATTTGACATAATGACAAATGGTATTAAAGCGGAAATTACAACAACAATCTTAACATAGAGTCAGTGAACTGACTCAGGTCAGAAAAAGAAGGAAAAACCACCAAGGCGAATGGTGTTTACGTGATATTTTTGGGTTTGGAAAAGATACCTTCTCTGGAAGACATACTTTAGTCAAACATATTTTATGCATTCACTTCGAGACTATCATACCTTTTTGCCTGTCCTATTTTAAAACTGCAATATAGAAACAGGTATTTAAATATAGCTTTGGTATGGGAAAAATAGCACTGCTGAACTTGAAAATAAAGAAATATTATTGTTTTGAAAGCACTTAAAAGATACTGTAAATGGAACTCATCTGGTGATTTAAAATTTTTCTACCTATTACCAGTGAGTTTTACATCTTTGCTCTAACATTCAGCTCATTGTACACAAACAAAAGGATGAAAATACACTCAAAATCTAGGCATTCCAAAACATACAGAACAATTCCTGATTATTTTTATTCTGTGAAACACTTACAAAGAGTTGCATTTGGAACAATGAAGTTTAATAGACTGATAGAGTTTCTGGGGTTTGTATGTTCTCAGCTTTGCTCTAATGCGGTACTGTTGAGGAGCCGTGCTGTTCAGAATGGTTTTCAGTTCTGTGTTATCCAAATGCTGATGATCTGTTAATACTGCAAAATAAAAACACAGACACACAAAAAAACCCATGCATACCTAACTGAACATCATAATATTTAGAATACAGGAAACGGCTATTGCAGATATGCATTCTCCTTTAATTCCCAGCTTTGTTTCCATTTCCAGCTGCAGCCTCACTTTTATCAACATGTTACAACAGTTTTTAAGATAAATTGCAACAGGCTGTGAGATTGCAGCCTACTTCAGAGTATGGAAATTCAACATGAAGAGAAAACCAATGAAAGCAGAATATATAAACATGCTCTATTCTTTAAAATGAAATTAAATTCATGAACTTGAACTCTTAGAAGAGCTCTTTCTGTAATAAAGATACTATTTCAACCTTTGAGCTAACTCTCAAAAATATTTTTGTTGTTCAGTAAAAATAAAATTCACCTTCAGGTCAGAATGCTTCTTACCTGTAACCGATAACAGCTGACATCTCTGTAGGTGTGCTTCAGAATCTAAAATCAAGAAGAATTTCCTAGTTATTTTCTTTCCTTTTTTTTTTTGTCATGTGGACAAACATAGATAGACAGGCAGAGAGATACACACACAGAACCAGATGCTAGGCAAAGGAAAAATAATGAATGAAAACAATATAGCAAAAGGAAAAGGCAAGGTATATCAGGACAGAAACATTAGATATCAACAGTTAATATAGTGAGAAGAAACCAGAGTATACATTAAATAGCAATGCTCAACAAAATGAACATTTTTGCCCTACACTTCCTCTTCCTTTGAAGCCAGTTGACATGGCAGGGAGGTTGGATTACATGATCTCTAAGGTCCAATCCAATCTAGGCCATTCTATGATTCTACAAAATACCTACTGGGAATGACACTGCTGACACAAACAGCGTTCAACACCCTGTAATCCTTCTGGACACGGGCATAATTACATTATTCTAAAAACAATATCAATTGTCTGGTCCCTCCTCCGAAGAACCTCTACTACACATGCACAGTGCAGTAAATATGCACAAAATTCTTTCTACATTTGTAGTGTTATGGTCTAAACATTAAGTATTTATTTATTATGACCTGTTGGAGAGCAGCATAGGGAAAAGGGACCTGGATGTCCTGGTGGACAGCAGGATGGCCACGAGCCAGCAATGTGCCCTCGTGGCCAAGAAGGCCAAGGGCATCCTGGGGTGTATTGGAAGGGGGGTGGTTAGTAGGTTGAGAGAGGTCCTCCTGCCCCTCTACTCTGCCCTGGTGAGTCCACATCTGGAATATTGTGTTCAGTTCTGGGCCCCTCAGCTCAAGAGAGACAGGGAACTGCTGGAGAGAGTCCAGCACAGAGCCACAGAGATGATGAAGGGAGTGGAACATCTCCCTTATGAGGAAAGGCTGAAGGAGCTGGGTCTCTTTAGTCTGGAGAAGAGGAGACTCGGGGATGACCTCATTCATGTTTATAAATATGGAAAGGGTGAGTGTCAGGAGAACGGCTCTTCTCAATGATGTCTTACAATAAGACAAGGGGCAATGGGTACAAGCTGGAACATAGGAGGTTCCACAAAAATATTAGGAAAAACTTTTTCACTGTGAGGGTGACAGAGCACTGGCACAGGCTGCCCAGGGAGGTTGTGGAGTCTCCTTCTCTGGAGACATTCAAAACCCACCTGGACACCCTGCTGTGTGACCTACTCCAGGTAATCCTGCTTTGGCAGGGGAATTGGAATAGATGACCTCTAGAAGTCCCTTCCAGCCTCTAACATATTGTGTAATTCTGATTCTTCACTTTTACATCCTTTTAGAAATAGCCTGTCACAGTACACAGTAACACAGAATTTTAAACGCTAGAAGCAAAGATGCAGATTACGTCCAACCAGCTTTAATCACTCTCATTTATTCTGGTTTAAAAATACCATTCAAATAATAATAATATGGGATCTGCAGAACTGCCTATAAGCTATTACTTTTCCATGGCGCTGCATCTTGCAGCTCTGCCAGTGATGTAACTTCCCATCCGAAGGCTTTAGAAGGGCTCCACAGCAAACAGCTGTTTCCTAGTATTTCCATCCAGTGCTTGTCTCTCAGGAATCCTGCTTTAGAGGGAGGGAGTTGCATCGCTCTGCTTTAAGATCTAATATAGTATGATTAAGAACACCATCTATATTTAATAATTTATTCACTACCTCCTAAAAGAAGTACTTTTCCATGTATATGAAAGGCTTCTGCTGTGAGACAGAAGGATAGGGTAATGTCAATTTCCAGTCTAATAAACAAAAAGGATTCTCTGAGGCTTTGTATGTGAAAGTAACATTATGCACTTAAGAGAAGCAGTAACTGTGACCTTATCTTGATCATATATATTTACATACATCTTAGAATAAAAAGCAAATCAGCTTTCAATTGCTCTTACCTGTAATATAGTTAAAAGTGTCATCCAATTCCACTGAAGACATGCTTTCCATATTCAGACTGTCTTCCAGTTCCACAGATTCTAAGAATCTAAAAAGAAATGACTGATATTTTCCAACACAGAGGTCTTTCACATATATACATTCAAATACATATGTGAGAATATACACATATTTCTATGAAACCTACTGCTTATCAATAGATATGTATAATGTTCAGACATAAATTTTCCAGCAGAGACACAAAACTCAATTGAACCAGAAGTTGCAGGAATGTCTATTAATGATGCAGATGAGACATTCCTTTCCAAATCACTTCTGGAACTTCAAACGCAATACAGTGACAAAGGAAATCTGTATTACTGGAAACAGGTTTCCTGATAAAGGAGTGTGGACTTGGGTTACTCAGGAGGAGTACAAAGACGTCATGAGGTTATGCAGGGAGAAAATTAGAAGGGCCAAACTCCAGCTAGAACTTAATCTGACTATTGCTGTAAAAGACAATCAAAACCATTTCTATAAACACATTAGCAACAAAAGAAGGGCTAAGGAGAATCTCCATCCTTTATTGGATGCAGGGAGAAGCCATAGTGATGAAGGATGAGGAAAAGGTCAAGCTACTTAACATCTGCTTTCCCTCAGTCTTGAACATTAAGACTACTTGTTTTCAGGCACCCAGTCCCCTGAGCTGGAAGACAGGGACCGGGAGCAGAACAAAGTCCCCATTATCCACGGGGAAGTGGTTAGCAAACTGCTGCTCTGCGTAGACACACGCAAGTCTATGGAGTTGGTTAAGATCCATCCAAGGGTACTGAGAGAGCTGGCAAAAGTGCTCATCAGGCCACTCTGCATCATCTCTCAGCAGTCCTGGCCGACTGGGGAGGTCCCAGAGCACTGGAGGTTAACAAGTATGATGCCCATCTAGAAGGAGGGCGGGATGGAAGGAAGATCTGGGGAACTACAGGCCTGTCAGTCAGTCCTCAGTGCTGGGGAAGGTTATGCAGCAGATCATCTTGAGTGCCATATGAGACATGCACAGGACATCCAGGTGATGAGGCCCAGTCATGATGGGTTTATGAACAGCAGGTCCTGCTTGACGAACCTGATCTATGACAAGTGAACTGTTTGCTGGGTGAAAAACTGGCTGGACGGCCAGGCTCAAAGAGTGGTGCTGAATGGAGTTAAATCCAGCTGGTGGCCAGTCACAAGTAGTGTTCCTTAGGGCTGAGGACTGGGGCCAATTCAATCATCTGAACAGTCCACTCATCTGAACAAGGAGATTGAGTTTACTCTCAGCAAGTCAGCAGATGACACCAAGCTGGGCAGGAGTGTTGATCTGCTTGAAGACAGGAAGGCTCTACAGAAGGACCTGGAGAGGCTGGAACAATTGGCCAAGGCCAAGTTTATAAGGTTCAACAAGACCAAGTGCTGGGTTCTGCACCTGGGTCACAACAACTCCACACAATGCTACAGGCTTGGGAAAGAATGGCTGAAAAGTTGACTGATGGAAAAGGACCTGGGGGTATTGGTCAGCGGCTGCCTGAGCATGAGCCAGCAGTGTGCCCAGCTGGCCAAGGCCAACAGCCTCCTTTTATCAGAAATAGTGTGGCCAGCAGGACCACGGCAGTGATCGTCCCACTATGCTCTGCACTGGTGAGGCCACACCTTGAATCCTGTGTTCAGTTTTGGGCACCTCACTACAAGAAAGACATTGAAATGCTGGAGTGTGTCCAGAGAAGGGCAACAAAGCTGGTGAAGGGTCTAGAGAACAAGTCTTATGACGAGTGGCTGAGGGAACTGGGGTGGTTTAGCCTGGAGAAAAGGAGGCTGAGGGGAGAGCTTACTGCTGTCTACAACTACCTGAAAAGAGGCTGTAGAGAGGTGGGGATTGGCCTCTTCTCCCAGGTTAACAAGTCGTAAGACAAGAAGAAACTGGCCTCAAGTTGCACCAGGGCAGGCTTAGGTTGAAAAATTCCTCACAGAAAGGAATGTCAAGCATTGGAATAGAGTTCCCAGAGAAGTGGTGGAGTCATCATCCCTACGGATATTTAAAAGATGTGTGGATGTAACCCTTCGTAAGATAGTTTAGTGGTGGACTTGGCAGTGTCAGCTTAATTGTTGGACTCTGATCTTAAAGGTCCTCTCCAACCTAAATGACTCTACGACTTTGTATGTATGTAACACAGTTCAGTAAAGAAGTTACGCTATATGCTTAATTTTGAACACCTTTAAGTGTTGCTGTTTCCAAGTAATAAAAGGCATATGCTTAAAATATGCTTAATTTATATGCTTAACCATAGCTTTTATCTTTAAAAGATTATAAGCCACCATAAAACAAAATATGTATGCTACTGTGGCCAAGGCTTATCATTATAGCACTATAAAATTGAAATCTTATTCCTTACTGTATTTTAAATTTGAAGAATTATCCCCCCAAATATTTATTCCTCATCTTAGTGGTTGTCAAGACATAGCCTGTTCCAGAGTTTATGCTTCTTACCTATGTTTACAACTCTAAACTATTTAGTTATTATATTAGCCTAATGTCTTCTAGAATAATCTAGGAAAAAAATAACAACCCTACATACAGAACTTACTCTTTTAGTTCCTTAATGTCCGGGTTATTCTCTGGCAAGACTCCTATTCCTCGCCCATAACAGGTGCCACCGTGAAGATGAAACTCTACACGTGAGATCTGTTCATTGTCAGCACTTGCTTGTTTCGTGTGAATACTGTAAATCCTCAGAAAACTTCCGATCTAAAAACATAAAATAAATAAAATTGTAACACAAAGTTGGCTATTTACTTGAAAAATTGTAGGCCTCACAAAGCTTCTTTCGTGTTTTCACTGCATCACAGAAAGGTTGTCAGGGATCTCTGCTGACTGCCTAGTCCAAAATCCGTGCCCAAAGCAGAATCAATTAGAGCAGGTTTCCTCAGGCTGTCTCCAGCTGAGTTTTGAGTATTTTCGAACATGGAACCTGTCTGAGTGAACCTGCTTGTTTCACTTTATCAGACAACATTACTGGCAGTAAAGGCTGATTCAGAACCAGCATAAGCCTTCTTACTAAATCTGATTCTCAAGCAGACTTCAGAATATCGATCAAACGAGCGAATATATTCCTTTCCTGAGGTCACAATTTGTCTTCTGGATTCACAACACAGCCCTCTAGAGACTGAGGTGCTGTGATTTGTCCACGTACAATCTCACCCAGCAACTGACCTCATGTCCATCACCATGCGCAGCACATTGCCTGTTTGATTTTACATGCAAACACATCTGATAACTCAGAATTCTTTATAGTAATCTTACTCTTACATTACAGGTAACATTTTTTCAGCACAAGGACAAAAGGCAACACATGTTAGAAATGCAAAGATTTTGGCAGTGTTCCTAACTGTGTTAGATTTCTCCTCAGGTACAAGGAGAATATCCTTGTTTCGCTTTGAATTATTTTGTGTTCTCTGAAATAGTTTTAGAATGTTACATAAAGAGACTTAAGCTAATTTACACAAATACAGATTAAGAAAGAAGTTATGGAGTCTGAACACCGAACACATACAATGGTTTGAGTTGGAATAGACCTTAAAGATCATCTAGTTCCACGTCGTCCGTCGTCCGCCATGGGCAGGGACATCTTGCACTAGACATCTTTATAACTTTGTTTTTATTCCAAAATATCACTGCCATTATCCCTTCCCACAAAAAGCCCCAACCAACACCAAGGGGCTAAAGGCAGACAGCTTGGAGATTAAATTATGTAGTTACTTTGCCTTTTGACATGTTTTGAAGGCCTTTGAATCAAATTAACTAGCATCCAATTTTGTTTTTTTACAGTATAACCTAAGATACAGCTGATAGCTGGCAAGCTACACAAATTCCATAACTTGCACGTATGTTCACACTAAAGTATCTTTTAAGTAGCCTTATATAAATGATACATTACTTTAAACTGACTTCAATTAACATTAATATTACAGCAGCCAGTCTGTTACGTCTCATTTCAGCTTCAGCTCCCACTTAAACCAGTAGAAACTTAACAAGTATTCCTATTAGGCTGGTCTGGCCAGATTTTAGTACAACACTTATAAATGTATGTATATACATGGATAAAAGCAGACAAAGTAGCATAATGATTCCAGAATTCTCCTCTGTATCAAGGAACAGGCTGTGACTATATAATGCTGGTATCAAACTGCTCCTTTAAATGATAATCCCACATGAAAAAGGCAGCATATTTTAAAAATTCTGGCATCAGGGACATAAAACGTGCACTTCAGCCAGCACCTATTTCGCTTCTAGCATAGAGCGCTTACCAGAGTTTGAATTGATCTGCACCATTAGGGGGCTGCTCATTTTGTTCATTCAAAGCATATAAACAGGACAGCTTGTGTATTTAGATAGCAGCTAAGAAGCTTATCTGGAGATTTTTGTTTGGGTTTTTGTTGGGTTTGTGAGTTTGGTGAGGTTTTTTTGTTGTGGTTTTTTTTTCAGATGCTAACTTTCATTTATCCAAAATGCAGACAATATTACCAAATATCACAATATCAAAAAATGCAAGGGATAGTCATATTATAAAACTAGTCCAATAATCATGACAAATGCTTTTAGAGAAAGGTTTTTTTAGAAGTTCTTAGCTAAGTTCTGCTTATGAAATAACCTTATGTCAATATAAAAGTGCCAAACTACTTTTTTTTTTTTTCCCCCAAGAATAATTTGTATATAGGCAGGAAAAATCCTGTGTTATATAGTAAATACTTAGGGGTTTTATACATTGATTCAAAATCAATGTATAAACACCCTGAATATTTACTATATACACAAACATAAAACATGAAACATGAGAGAGGAGAACCCAGAAGCCAAGAATATAAAATGCTGGTTTTGCCTTCTAAAACTTGTGTCCTAAAATCCATGCAAAAAGTCAACCAAATTACGTGTTTTAGTGCAACAGTCAACTTCCCAAGATTTATGATCACTATAAAAACCCATCTTCCCATATCACTTGAACTACAGGAAAAAGAGGCTCGTTATAATAAGCTGGAATAGTGGAATACTGGCAAAGTCGGGAAGAGGTGCAATTACCGGCAATTCCTTTGGGAGGCAGCGTTGCCCACTGTTAAGAGCGGCGAGCAAAGGGGGCTGCCACGGCTAAAAATGCTGCCCCGTTTCTGTTGCTTACAGAACGCCTGCAGACCGAGCACACGTTATACACTTGACTGAGAAGAAATTATTATCCACATTAAGGTAAACACCGTGATTTACAGAGCCATCACTGAAATCTAGTACAAAACCATCTCCTTACTTGACTTTACGGCAGTTCTGTTTATGAACTCCTACCTACCTCGTTTAGAGCAAGTTCATTTAAAATTAAATTAAAGCACTAAGAACACATTGCTTGCAGTAATACAAAATATACTAACAGTCTCTTTGCAGTCGAATTAAAATAAGACTACCTAAAAATACATATTAAGGCTAAAAAGAATTAAAACGAAGAAGTCACAAATGCAGTTCCCTGTAACTAGCCAACTAAAACAACTTTTTAACATAGCAAATTCTCATCATTATTTCAAAACATATAGGGTTGTGTTCATATTTAAGACACTGATGAATTCAAAATAGTCATTTATCCTAGCAGTTAAATGTTTGGCCAGAAAGACACTCATGACAAGAGGCTGTCTTTATCTACAGGAATCACTTACTAAAATAATCTGTATTAATTTTTATGCCTATTTTATGCCTGATATATTCAATGAGATTTCTTTGTCATCATATTATCATATCAACAGTCTAATTTTACTGAGTAAACTGCATCACTTTTTTGCAAGTGAGACAAAGCATATACACAGCATTTGAGTGTGGACCTTTGAAATAAAACAAGTATCAAATGCATTAAAGGGTTTGGAAGACTTCAGAGTGGGATGAGGGGTGTTGCAGTTTTGTTATGTTTCCCTTTTAATGACTATAAAGATAGAAGTGGGAAAAATACCACAGACAGGCCAAAAGAATGATACCTAGGCCTGAAAAAATATGAAGCTAGATACTACAGTCATGTAACTCTTTTAAGCTGCAGGCTGAAAATGTGACTGCCACGATAGAAAAGCAAGTAAGACTTCTTAGTCCAAACTACTAGCAAAATAGACATGACATTGTATATAGTGGGAGAAACAGCTAAAAATAGTCAAATTCTGCATCTGGCGATACCTAAACCAAAGTAAGTACTATGAAGCTACACTCTCTACAGCTGCCTGAAGGGAGGGTGCAGTCAGGTGGGGGTCGGGCTCTTCTCCCGGGCAATCAGTGACAGGATGAGAGGGCACGGCCTGAAACTGCGTCACGGGAGGTTTAGGTTGGGTCTCAGGAAGCTCTTCCTCACGGAGAGGGTGCTCAGGCACTGGGATGCACTGCCCAGGGAAGTGGTGGAGTCACCGTCCCTGGAGGGGTTTAAGGAGAGGCTGGATGTGGCACTTAGTGCCGTGGTCTGGCCGATGTGATGGTGTTGGGTCACAGGCTGGACTTGATGATCTCAGAGCTCTTTTCCAGCCTCAAAAATTCTTTGATTCTGTGAAATCACAGACTAGGACCTGTATGTGTGCTCAAGGTTAACTGTTTTAATTGTATTACTCAGAAAACGGAAACATAAACCCAATGGTATGAAGCCGTAAGAGGAATGCACAGCACCACATCACAGAATGGCAGCACAGCAGGAAATCTCCACCCAGCTGTGAGCAGCTGGATCTCTACTGTGCTCTGACTGACTGCTGATGATCACCATCCAGCAAAACGCCCCAAACCCATGTCACAGGTCTATTCTCAAGCTGTACAACAAGATCTATGTGAATCCTGAGAACCTCTGGAAAAACTGGCATAAGAAAGGCTGAAGTACTGAGGCCTCAAAAATAGGCGCTGAGCTAAAGTTGACCACAACTCAACAATATATCTAATATATATAGTATTAATCGCACATAGTATTAATTGCATATGTAATGTTACTAATCTATTTCAGTATGTATATATATATTTTGATGCCAATCTATAAAAGCTTTGCTGTAACATTTATTGTGTAATGGTAACCAGTAGAATGATCTTTATTTAGTGGCCAGATGCGAGGCCATCAAACTAGACATCTTCTTCTTTATTTAGAGGCATGTTGCAAGGCTGTGAGACCAGATGTCTGGCCTTGTTGAGAAATATGTGGACCAACACTGAGAAAGTCCCTTGGATTCCTCCTTTAGCGCTGGCCAGGTTTCGGGTGGAATCCAATAGGGAGGGTGATACCAGATGTTCCCACATTTGAATTATATAAGCTTGTTTATTCAATAGTATAAAAAGCTGGACCTTCTTGCAGTGACTTTGGAGACCTCACCTATGAGTGGACGCACTGTGTAGGAGCTTGCAGTTGCCAGGACTGGTTCTCCAAGTCCTCACTGCGACTGGGGCTCCCCAACCACTGTGGATCTGGATGATAGTAAAGTATTTGGGCAATTGGTGATGGGTCTTTCTCAATTACTATATTTAACCTCACGTAGTAATGATTAGGTGCAGTACCCTGCTTATTCTCTTTGATGCTTAAAACTAGAGTATAATAAGCTTATTGTTTTAACTAAATGCATTACCTTGTATGTGTAATAATCTTGAAACAGATAGTAAAATAAGCCTACTCTATTGTTGGTGTCTGTGTCCTTTCTATTGGCCTCATCAATTGGCAAAACAATGATTAAAGAATAACGAATTACAATGGGAGTAACTCTACACTCCAGAGAGTTAGTTGCAGGCTGTAACTAGAAAGCTTCATGCACCCCAGGTAGCCAGAGGAAGAGGGAAATTCAGGAAAAAGCAGAGAACATCATTGTCTTTGCTTAGCTATAGTTCTTGCTCATGTCTTTATGTCCCAGGAAGTAATCTACTTCACAGATGAGATTTCTGAAAATTCTATTTGTGTTCTGCTAACGCAGGAAATGCTGAAAAGCCACAATCTCACCCAGCAGGAAAGGGAGTAAATATAGAGGACAAAAAGTCTGCTTACAGTATCAATTGTAGCATACCTTTCAATATTGCTGAAGTTCTCTCCACTGAAAAAGCGTAAATACTATTTTACTGTCTCTAAATGGGATGAAATGCTCCTCATCTTTGGTGTTCTCTGGACTGACCATCCAAACTCTTGCAACTCTTGAGTTAGAACAAAATCTTGCAGGAATATCTTTGTGCTCCAGGATTCGCTAAAAATTCACTATAATACGTTACACAGCATCTCTTGTGCTTACTCAGAGCTTCCTTGTCTGAGCATGTGCCTTACAAATGTAATTTGAAAAAAAAATTTAAAAATCAGTTGTTTGCCTTTTTTGTTTGTTTGGTTGCTTGGTTGTTTTTTTTTCTTTGATCTGCCCTTCTTGGTATCCAGGTTGTGTCCTTTACAAAACATCATTTACAATTCCATAATAATTTACATTAAAAAGCCAATTTTAAGCAACTGTCGAATGCAGAAAAGATGGCTGGAAAAACTGCACTTTTACTGTTTCTAGTACAATACATCTAGTGCAGTTTCTGTCCACACCGTTCTCATGTTCGTGCTTGGGAAGGTGAACACGCATACACCAAATGCTCTCCAGTTATATACTTCTAAAAGAAATCTTTGCATAGCAAGACACTGAACTGAATATATTATACAGATTAATACAGAATATTTCCGTTATACTTTCTTACTATATGATGTGATTTTGCAAGACACTGAACTAAAAATATTATACAAATTAAGAGAGTATTTCCATTACACTTTCTTACTATATGATGCGACTTCCAATAGTATTTAAGAGGCCTTTCATTAGATCTTTCACTTTTAGAAAAGTCCCCCAAAATTTTATTTTCTTTATTCTGTGAAATAAAATGAATTGCACATACTACAACCTGAATAAATCTTCTTGAAGTTTAATTTTTAGGATATCAGCACTTCTGCTTCAGTAAATCCCCTGAAGACAATGCACTGAAAAGCAGCGTTCAAAAATAAGCCAACTTAAAACTTCTACAGCTTGCATGAGTGAAACTACTGCAACTTTGGAAAAGCCAGGAGAAAACAGCTAGTGTTGATCACTAAGTCAAACCAAGTTTTTTGACAGTTTCCTTTGACATTAGAGCTACTGCTTCACAACGTAGTGTCCGACAAAGGCACAGATGCTTTAGAAGTAAGAAAAATGGGCTTATAGGAAGGAAAACAATTGAAAGAGTTCATGAAGACATCCCACCTACCACATATTCAACAGGACTTCCTGAATATAAATGGGAGGAGAGAGTAATAAAAAGAGTATCATCAGCTACTAAAGAAAATACACTTTGTTAATATTAAAATGTATCCCTTAATTTCAAAACATATTGCTTCACTGGAGCATCAGCAGTTACTTATACCAACAGACTACAGCAGTCAGCAAGAGAAAAATTCTGGAAGAGAACCTCTAAGTAATGAAATACTTTTGTGAGTTTTGTTATGAATTCTTACAGCAAGGCAAGTTATTTTGCTCTCTGTTGTTTACTTATGAACTGGCACTGATATGAATCAAATTGATTTCAAGTCTGCTGATAGCCTCAGCCTAATAAATGAATTCCATTTATCTTTATTTTCTGGTAAATACTTTCTTAAAAATGATGCTTGGATATTTAGAGGGCAAGGCATAAAATAAAAGATACATTCTTTGCTAACTTACTATATTCAGAAGCAAGATGGCAGTATTGCTGAAGATCAAATGTTTAATTATGTTGTTGTTTTCTCTATCTAAGCATAATCAACATTAGTGACCCACTAAATGAAGATTGGACTGCAAATTGCAGAAGTTTATAGAACAGAAAATCTTTTATTGACTTTAGAATTACAGGCCTTTAATGGGACTACAAGTTCAACCCCACTTTATATCATTTAAAAAATAATTCTCTAGCATAGAATACATTTTCTGAGTGCATTATTTTCACAGGATTATATATATTACAGTGTCTGAAAAGAACTGCCTAATTGGAAGAATTCTTCTCATGGCAATTTTAGGGTAATGAGACTGTTTTACACATGTTGAAGTAATTTTGCGTTCAAATAAAATGTACGGGAAATACAGTGAAAGAGGAACATTTGAAACTAATTAACAGCAGAACTGAATTGATACGTTCTCTGAAGCGAGCTCTAAACAGAAAATGGGCCCCAAGAGTTAGAAACACCAAACTGTGCATTACCTTAAGTGATTTTGCCAGCTGTACATGGTTATCATAGACTAGAATGTCCACTGTTAGATCTCGCAGCTGATAAAGACGACCTATTTCTCCTTCCAGGTCTCTTGCTTCCACAGGCACCTTCCAGGTTGGGTAGGGACATTTTGTGCCATCCCACACCTGCAAGATAAATGAACTATTTCAATATGCTCGGAATCCTTTACATTGAGATTTTTAAGTAACTTTTATTTTTTTAAGCAAATTTGTTGTTCAACTAAAAATTCATAGCAATAAGAAATCTTAACTGGAGTCTCAGTCAAGTCCTCAAATAACTTATAGTAGATTTTATGGGATTAAAAAAAAAATATAATTTCTTACAAAGTATAAAATAACCTCTACAGAGAAGATGATCACATATTAAGACCTGGGATTTCGTAATATTAAAAAACCCAACCAACCAAAAAAAAATCAGCACTAGCAAAACCTCAACTGTTTATCTAGCAGTTACTATTAGAGTTAATCATATGCAGAACTGCCTATATTTTAACATTTTAATCCTGCTATAGGTTTTTTTAAACACTCCAGCTACAGCATGTGAATAGAGTGCAGAGTATATATTCCCTTAATTACTGACGATCTCCTACAGCAGCATACATTACTAGTCATACAGAACATATTAGTAAAACATCAGTATTTAACACACACGCTTAATAACAAGGACTCTAAAAATTGTTTGCCTAAAGCTAAGCTCTTGATTCACTTAAGTTTTGAAATACCAATAGAGTTATTTTTTAAGGTATCAAAGTTATTGTGAAAAAGTAAGATTACCAACAGACTTAATACTTTGGAACCCAAAATTTTCCTGCTTAAGCCAAACATTAAAATTTCAGTGACAGCTGCTTACAATATATTCTGTAAATCATGGTTTCCTGACTTACTGAAGATATATTCTTCCAAAAAATAACAGAAATAATCTTAAATATCAGCACAGAAAAATCTAGGGGCATTTAGACTGACGACTGAAATTTTGCATTTCATAGGATTTCATGCATAAAGGTTCAACAGAAACTAATTTTCAGTTAGTTTGTGATACCAAGGCATTTTGTCCTGTGAGTTACGCACTGAGGAGTGGGAGGAAAAAAATACACCAAAGCTTAATTTTTAAAGGGTTTCTACCTGCCATGCTTTACTGCAGTGGATCAAAGGAGCCACAGGAAAAGATCTAAGAATCAGCAAAGCCATGTGTAAATACACTGAGAATAACTCAGGGCTGAAATGCTCATCCCAAATCAAAAGATAAAAGGGACAACTCTTCACACTGAAAATGACCCATAACATCAAATTAATGTTCCCAAAGAAGAGCATATTCTGAAGGACCAAGATAATGGGGTGATACAAGCTGCCACAGATTAAAAAAAAAAGCTTATTATCTTCTGATCCTGTACCATGAAATGCTTAAAACCACCTTTGAAAGAGAGCTAGCCCACTGCTTAAATTATCAAGCCTCTTCCAGAACTGAGCTTGAGAAATATAGATTTACTGCATATATATTATGAATTTAGTCACTTTGGCAAAATAAAGAACCTTGTCAGGCTTCCCATTATTTTTCAAATGGCTTTACCTGAGACACTTTGGTAGTTCTACATTTAAGAGTTGGATTTGACAAATGCATTAAAATAACCTGAATGATGAGTACTTAGTTTTCAGTAGTCCTTTGCTTGGGGAACTGACAGGGTCAGAGTGCCTTCTGGAGGAATTTGTAAGCTTTCTTTACAAGAAAAAATACCGTTGGAAAAATAGATGGTCTTGTTTTTTACTTGCTCAAATATGAAAACAGATCAATCTCTCTACCTCAGAGGCTTGCCAGCTTCACTTTACTGAAATTATGAATGTAAACACAGAGGATCTGGTTTCAAAAAACCAACACTGGTCTAAAAACCAGCACTGATTAAATTAATTCTGGCTAAGAAACAGCAAAGGGTTCCATTACCGGTCGTGACCAGACTGAACAGTTAGTGACAACCTTTGATTATCACGGTCAACAAAGCACTGAAATGGGAGAGAGACAACAAAACCTGTTTCTCTCTTCAGCAGAGTATGCTAATTGTATGACACGATTAATGAAGACAACTTAAGTGACAGAAGGACAGAAAGGAATAACTGTAAAACTCCTATGAAAGGCATAAGTGACAGAATAATATCTAGTGTGAGTTTTTTAGCCTTCACCAATTTGAATAATAAAATTCTCAGGAAAAGGTAAGCACTAACAAGTTAGCAATACTGGTTTTATGCTGTGTCAACCTCAAGTGCCGTGCATATCCCAATTAATTTACCAAATATAATCTTAAAAGTTATGCTATGGGTGATGCACAAAATCACTGAAATTAATTTTAGTTGCCTCTGAAGCAATCTCCACGAGTTACATAAGCTCAACGCTTAAAAAAATCATTATATTTTATGGTACAATCAAGCATGAATATTACTGATATACTTGGAATGACATGAGAAACTTAAATCATTACTACAGAACATATAATTAAATATAATAATATTTAATGATTACTCAATTTGAGCTAGTATTGAATTTGGTTTGTTTTTTTTTGTTTAGCAAATTAACAAAATAATCAGAGATCTGTCTACAATTTTTTTAAAAGGCTTCCTTTCCATCATGACCAACATTTAACACAAAAAAAGGGATTTTGCCATGCTTGAAAAATAGAGGAAATTAGCAACAGCATACTAATGTTAATCTATCATTTTTAGGCTTGTCTGATGTATTTTAGTACAGACTTAAGGACTTACTATTTTATACCACTAAAAAAATACTGCCAAAGGCATTATGTATCAGAAAAATTGATTTCATTTGATTTCAGACTTTCTCAGATCTACTCTTAAGTTTCAACCCCCAAGTCATTACCTTTACTATGAAAAACGGACAAAATTGACTTCAGATCTTACATGACAGAAAATAGTATAAAGATGTATTAATAATTTAAGAAAGCACTTGTCTCTTCCTTGCAAAGGGTCCTTCAATGCTGAACATACACTTATTATTGAACAACTTAATTACAGTCCACAAAGTTCTGAAATTTTACTGCACTCATTTGACATATATTGCACAAGGGATAATTAAATAGAAATATTTGTAACAGCTGCAAAGCATATTATAGGATGACAGTTCAGGTTTGTTTCTACATACTGCATGCATTGGTCTGTACAAGCAAAATCTTTGCTGCTGCTTGAATCAAGGAATAATGCAGCGTGTTGCTTCTAAAAATGTTGTAACAATACAGCTTAATATGGTAGAAGCAATAAATGATTTTATGAAGTACTAAAATGGAAAATAACACGTTGTCCATCACTCACATCAATTTGTAAAAGAAAAATGAAGAAATACAAAGAAGTTTCAGAATAACACCAGACATAAATCTGGAACTAAACCCAAGAAAATTATGCAGACCTCATTTCATTTGGCTGACGCTAAGGATCAGTCTTGGGAAGTACTCTGCTGTTGTGTGGCACTTTGCACTTTGTACTTTCAGTGAGCACTGATCCCCAAAGCACTTACGTATAACTAAAAGAAGCTACCTAAAATCCATCAAGGCAGATTACATAACCCATTCATTCATTCTCTAGATAGTGACAGTTGCTGCATTAATTATATCCAGTAGATCTAGAAAAATGAGCAATAATTGCTGCTGAGGGAAAAAAAAGGTTACAAATTCAAATAAATAGTACTTTTCAACTTTAAGAAATCTTGATATTTATCTACGAATATTTATGAAACAAAGAACCATATCAATGCTAACTTATAAAATCTCTCAAGAAATAAATGAACACCTTTAAAGAAAACTAGGATTTCTGTTTTGTATTCATAGAAATAAGATGGTCAAAGATCATAAATTTGCTTAACCTCAAAATAATTATCTATATAATGTTATTTATATCTATGATTATATCTATTTAATCAAACACAGAATCACTATGTCTTAAAAAATAAACCTGACAAATTATTTTTAAAAAATAAATCTACCTTTAGAAGAAAAGAAGATCCATCCACTTTTGCTTTTCCTACCAGCTGGCAAGTGAGATCAAAGAACAGGGTTGGCTCAACACCAGACAATTTTGCTGCTGGTCCAGAGGAGGAAAGATTACTCGCTGCCCAAACACGTAATTCTTCTATTGTTTTCCGTTCTTCATCCATGAAAGTGTACACTTTGCTAGAAGTTCGAGGAACTAATGCTGCTCCTACAGTTCCATCAAATGTCAAGGATGCAAATCCTGCACTGTTAACTCCCTGCATTTGTCCATTGTATTCCCTGATCTGTAACAAAATACAAAGAAAAATAAATAAATGATTGCACTGCACAAAAATATACACACATTTCCGTTTTATCAGGTGCATGAAGAATGCACTGATCATCTTTGTTCCTGGTGCTATTATGAGAACGGAGTCAAAATAAAAATAAAACAAAAAATGGAAATTAACATTAACAAGAAAGGGAAGTGAATAAGCAGAAAACAATCTAACAAAAATCTAACAAAAAAACGATTTTTAAAAGGTAGACCAATACCTACCTACTGATTTACAAATCAGCGCAGAGCATTTTATTCACAAATATCAAAATATTTGTGTAGCGAACACATTAGGATTGCTTTTTCAGATGGGGAAACTAAGGCACGAAATAAATTTTTAGGGATCTCACAGACGAGTGATGGTGGACCACAGTTATATAGATTCCTGCTTTCTGCCTCTCACAAAAGTCCCATTTCCTGACAGTATGGAACTGAAAAATGTAAGATTCAGTTCCAGGAGCTTATTTTTTTCATATAAAGCAGTGATCAGCTTTTACCTCTTGAATAATGAATATGCTTTCACAATTACTCTTATGGCTACTGCCCTGCATATGGCAGGTCCCCTGGATCCTGCTGATTTAGCTGTGTATCTGCTACCATATAAATCACACTGCACCAAGTCTGAAGCTTTCCTTCAAGGATCTAGTGTTACTATTCCCTGCACTGGAGATACAGAGATACAGATATATATATATATACACACATATACAAAACACTGCATGACAGCTTTCCAGTACCTGAAGAGAGCAACAGGAAAGAAGAAGAGGGACTCTTTACTAGGCAGTGTAGTGATAGGACAAGGGGTAACGGTTTTAAAGTGAAAGAGGGTAAATTTAGACTAGATATTAGGAAGAAAGTCTTTACCATGAGGGTTGTGAGACACAGAAACATGTTGTCGAGAGAGGCTGTGAATACTCCCTCCCTGGAAGTGTTCAAGGTCAGGCTGGATAGGGCATTGAGCAACCTGGTCTAGTGGGAGATGTCCCTGCCCATGGCAGGGGGGTTGGAATTAGATGATCTTCAAGGTCTCTTTCAACTAAAGCCATTCTATGATTCTATGACTCATAAGCCAGAAATCTCAAGCCAACTGTTTTGAGCCAAACCTTCTTAATTAAAATTTGCTTACCAAAAAAGCAACAAGACTTCCGAATATAGCATTTGTGAGACAATATACTTTAGGATTCCCAGTGCTCAATTTTCAAACGGTTGAAAATCCTAATGATTTAAAAGTGTAGTCTCTGAGAGATGTGACAGAAGTTCTGAACAGCAACATCTTTTTACCAAAACATTGTCAACGATTCAGGTTTATATTTTATAAACAAACTGAAATTTAAAAATCACACAAATCAAGTATTCCTTGACCATTCATAAACACAGCAGTCCAGTCTCAGTGACAGAACTCCTTTAATCCCTGCTACTTTTGACATAATGCATTAATGCATTAAGGATCATCTCTAGGATAAACTTTCATTTACTTCAGCATTCTCCAGACCTGACCAATGTAGTACATCAATTCATGGTGTAGTTTTTCTTCACTGTAACATTAAAAAGCTTTAGTCTTTTAACCTTTACCTTAAAATACAGAAAGCCAATGGACAAATCAGGGAAATGCATAGTTTTATCATCAATTTGTTTCGATTATCCATGATCTGTAAAAAATGTTCCACTCTAACACTGACTTGAATATAAATGCAGAGTTTTACTTTAGTTGCTACTAGTGGCATTATATTCCACAGCTTCTCAAAATAGGTAACATCCAGAGGGAGTAAAAAGTCTCTTTCATCACTTTTACTCATCCATCTGCTATCAAAAGATACTTCAAGCATATTTTTAAGTATCATGTCTGACATGCCAAATATTTCTCAAATTGGTTTAATTTCCAAATCACTTATTCATTTACAAACTTCTTCATCAATTCTTTTAGATCATCACCAAAATATTTTGACTTCTTACTAAAAATTCTGTCCTAGAACTCTAGCCTATTTATGAGGGCTCTAAACTTTTCAGGAAACCAGTTCCCAAAACAACTTTGCCTCCCTGGGCTTCAGTTAGTATTTCACCGTAGACTATTTTCCTCATTTCTCAAATCTTTCATGTTATGTTTTCAGCACTCAAGAAGCTGTGCTGGAAAATACTGAACTTCTGGCATCTCCTAGTACCCTCATTTGGTGGATTTCAAATCAGCCTCAATGTAGGGGAAGGTAGTTATAAAATAACAAAATAAATAAAATATGTAAGAAGGTAAGCCTAAAGTGTCATGATGAGAATATTACCAATGATCTTGAAGCAAAAGCAAATGTCCTTAGGCATGTAGAGAAGCCACTGAGTAGTCTCAAAGGTAAACAGCATCCAACCACATTATTTATTGAACAAGAGAACAAATAGGAAAAGTAAATGTAGAACGGGTTGGAGAACAAAATATTTCACAGCTGGAAAATTACTTGTGTCAGACCTGCAGAACAGATGACAGTCAAAAGAAATTTTCCAGGCTTGTCCTTTAAAAACAAATCATTACTAAAGTGATGAGGAATGTTGGAGTGTAAAAAGAACAAAATCCATGTGCAAATATATCTTTATGGCAGGAGTAGATCTCAGATCAAATTAAGCAGTGATACTGTAAACTAGATATATTTTACACATACAAATGATTTCTAAATTGAATTAAAGTTAGGCAAAAAAGCTAACCTGAGACTTCTGTATATGATGACAATTCTCCTTCAGTAGATTTTACGTCTTTTCTAGAGGCTTTGGGGATTTTTTAAAAAATTGAGGTGTGGGCAGAGGGGACTACACATACAGACAGGGAAGACTGGTATCACTTTAAAAATTCCCTGGGAATTATAAATACGTCCAATAAATAATGGTTATTAAACAAAAATCTCTTCTGGGGAAAAAGAGGAACAGATACAGATATCTGCTTGTTCTAAGCAGATAAGTAAGTTCCAATACTTATTTGGCATAGGTTTTGCAAACTAAAGAACAAAAGGTGAAATGTCACCTCAAGAAACTACATGGACAATAAATTCTAGTGATTTCTATGGGGTGCAACTCTCTCCTGAATATACTTATTGAAAAGAAGCTAATCTTAAAATATTTATAAATAGATTTACAGCAACCTAAGCCACCTGAAAAAATTTTATTTCTGTTAGTGAAGTTAGTGCTCCTCGCCGCACTCAAATGAAAAATGCAATAGTAAGTACCGTATAAAGCTGGAATAATAGCATCTCTAAGGTAGTTTTCCATCAAAACTGATTGTTAAATTGCAGAAGCAAAGGACTGTCATGAAACCACCGCAGTCACAGATCATAAACCTATATATACTATGCTAAAGTACATGTTCTTATGAAGAACTCATAAAAAAAAATTAACTATTGATTTGTGGAAAGATCAGGAATAGAACACAATATTTTGAAACATGAGTACATTAAGCTTAAAACTTGACTTATTTATACATATAAAATTATTTCAAGACATAAAGTTGTTCATTTATTTTTTACTTGAAATACTTCATCATCTGACATGCACTGTCCAAACTTGTATTCCAATTTAAGTATACATTCAGCTGAAGCCCTCACTGTCAGGCATCTTTTACATAAGCAGAAGTCAAAAACTTCTGAGCTCTGTGATCTGTGGCTGATAACAAAATAATAGGTCAATGTTCACATGCTGCTACCCAGTCTTCCCTTAGCCCCAGAAATGTAGTATATGTGAGATACTAGTGAAAAGGAAGAAAGAGTGCCATGTTGTCTACAGGCAATGGATCTCCAAGAATTAGTTCCAGTGGTGAGCTCTGTATTTCCCTCTGATGCTGTGCCACCTCAGGCTTTGGCTTGTTGAGCCAAAATTCCACAACTTTCCCAGGTAACTTATTTCAATAACTCACTACTCTCTTAGTTCACAAACAGCTTTGGAAACACCTCCTTTGCCACACTAGGTCTTACTGTCTCTCTAGATCCATAAAGTTCCCCAGCACTGATTACTAAATATTTTGATTGTAATGAGTATTTTAAAAGATCTGTAGCAATTTGGGGAAAATACCTAAAATTTAATTATATTACAAGTGAAATTCCAGATGGGAACTTGAGATGGTTCAAAAAATGAGTATAATATAGTAGGTGCCAAACACTCTTCTAGTTTGTTCGTATGAATGGTGGCTATGAGAAAGGATATCTTTCTAGAAGATGGATAAAAATTATACCTCATTCGAGGGGAGGGGGGCTCCAACTCACAAAGGGATGCCCTTCAGTTCTCCCCATTACTCACCAACTCAGTCAAGGTTTTAGAGCGACAGATCACTGCACTCATCTTGAAAAATGGTCTAAAATAGCTAGAGCAGATACTTGATGGAAAAACACAAACAAATAAAACACAGGTTTTCCATTGTGTCCAGACAAAAAAGTAGTTTACTTAGGTATTTATCTTATTTCCTTGGGTTCGTTCTTTTCTATTTTTGGCTGCAAAGGTAGCCAACACAGAGCAGAACTTCATCTAAGATCCACTGGTGCCAGACAACATAGGCTTCCGATCCATCTGAATTGAACCAGAGAGCTTTTAAAATTTGGAAGTACCTCATAAGTATTGCCTGTCATTTGAACTGTGATGAGTTATAAACAAAGATAACTTTCTCCTGTTAAGTGTTATTACTTTATCAGTGGTTCTGACACTTCCAAGAAATAAAGCAGAAGCAGGTGGAAAAGATGTCTTGCTCAGAAATTATGTTTATATGCCTCAAACTACCTGAAAAAAATCAGAAATGAATTGTCTAAATTTTAGGGCATGAACAGCCTCAACAATTTAATTCCTAAGTGGCCTTTCTATTAAACAGAAGTTGCTTCTTTGTGTTATGGACTTCTTAGGGGAGGGGGTGGAAATCAAAGTGCTAAATTTATGGTGATTTGTCCATTTTGGATTGTAGCCACTGAAAACAGTACGCTCTATGACCAGCATCACCTACAAGGATATTAATAG